GAAAGAGAGAAAGATTGAAGATATTTTCTATCTGAAAACAGATAAAACCAATAAGGTTTTGAATTTGAACAAACAAATCAGATTCTTTTGAAAAATAAAAAAAAATATTGAGAACGGTCTCTATAATGAATGATCAAGGAAGTCATTGCCTAAGATGATTTCAGAAGTGCTGGCATTTGATCACACCTGCTTGGATTTGGAGTCTACAGATTTCTTATTCTATGGATCCTAAGATATACGGTCTACCAAGTCTCTATACCAAATAATATAAACTATTTGAGGGTGAATGGTCCCAGTGGAAAGACAATCGGAGACTATATATAATCAAAGACAATCTGCATGGAACAGAGTTGCTCCCAGTTCAATTTCTGTTTATAGAGACAGCATAAAGGCACGGCAATGGAAAACCCTGTCCCCTTTGTAGCTACTATGTTCATGAGCAAATCTAAATTGGAAGAAAAATATGAGTAAGATCACATTTCACGGTCTTGGATCAGATATGTCGAATGATATTTTATACAAAGAAATCAAAAGAGAAATCTGTTTCAACTCACAACAACAAAACCCCAAATATAAAGTTCACATATGAAATTGAAACAATTGGATGTCTGAGTGATAAGAAGTAACCTGGGTCTAGAATTTTATTTGCACAGAGAGAATATCAGTACTTTCAAATATATCCTGACAGCTCACACCATTTTCCACAACAACAGATCTGAACTTTCTTGTCCATACGCTTGTTACGTTCCCTATGACTGCAGAAAGGTACGATATCGAGAAATCAACGGGTATTTTTTATATGGTGTAGATAAGTTGATTTGGAGACGTAAATGTTGAGAAAATCTTCATGAATCTTTGACTTTTCGACTTTTTATTCATGTTCCAGAAAGTTGAACATGAAAGTAGCCCTCAAAACTCCTTGCTCACTTCACCAAATGTTAGGTAACCCTATGCACAAGAACACGAACATGAAGACCAGATTGATCCAAGGCGTCAAGGCGTGTTGCTTAACACGCCTTGGAGAACGACCATAAAATAAATTAAAACTATCCGAAATTGTTGATATCGGAATTTGACACTAGATGTTTGGATGCTTTGAATTGTATAAAATTTCATGATGATCGATTGAGTAGTTTTCGCGTGAAACCGTAACAAACAAACTCACATTCGCATTCATTATATTAGTAGGGATAGGGATAGGTAAGTAGGGATGTCGTGACTGTGAATGATACAGTGCAACGGTATCACAGTACAAAAGGTTAGAACTTCATTACTGGAATGCTAGATGACGTTAAAGTAGCTAGATTTTGAGTATCCTATGTTACTTCTAATTTCTCCAAGAACATATGTACAAAATTTCATGATGATCAGTTGGGTAGTTTTCGCGTGAAACCATAACAAACAAACCTACATTCGCATTTATAATATTAGTAGGGATTGTACGAATTGATCACCCGATGAGGAATATTTTGTCGAGGCGCCACCGGTCATAGGATATCGAAAGGTTTTTGTGTTTTGAATGATTCAATGGAATATTATTAGGAAGATTATGTATTCATTATGTGAAAGGGAATGAAAGGTGGTATTAAAAGTGCGACCAGTGTTTATTTTCTTCATCAGAATTGGGATTGTGCCTAGCGCTCACAGTGAACCAGAGAATTCTGTTATTCAAACATTGAAAAATATTGTTGTGTTACGGTGCTTTATGCAAACGGAAAATACTTCACTAGGGTTGTTCTTTTCGTTTCGATGTTTGTGGATAATTGTGAAAATAACTTTCAAAGAGGAAGATTCGACTCGAACACTTTGAGCTGAACTGGTGAAAGCTTTGACGTCACAGCGATCTGGTGAACAAGTAGATTTGCCCTATCTTAGACCTGAAAATAATAAATTCAGGTGAGTCAAGTAAATTCTGGTGAAATTCAAATAGGCTGATCTGATGTTCAAACATTTTCAAGAATTTGTCGATTTTTACTAAACGAGGCAAAAGATGTTTTGAACGTTGGAACCTTCACAACAGAAACTGAGCAACTTTTTGTATTCATTTCATCGAAGCTTTCTCACCAAAAAGAAACCTTGGTCGTAAGTTAGAAGATGAAGTTGAATTCTCAAGTGCTTTCGTAAACAACTATGAATCGTATATACATGAAGAATCAGCTGAAGATTGTTATTGTTGAAGATTGTACGCACAAAATGGTGTGAGATTTACTTAGTAGAATTGATCCTTCATGGAATATCTAAACCTGAAACCCGCAATGCTGCTATGAAGGCTAATTGTCATACTACTTCTGAGTCATTGGTGTTTTTGTCTTTCTTTGTGAATCTTCCTCATACCAATGAGGGACAAGAAAAAATTGCTGGACGCGACACTTTTTCTCTTGAGAGAAAATACCCTTTTCCTGAGAAAAAAACAAGTGGATCTGCTGAAGGACCTATAAAATGTTACCAGTGTGGTAAAGTGGGATATGTGAAGGCAAAATGACGTGCCAAAAATCTAGAATCATCGTATAACAACCGAAGTTTCTCTACCAGTCAACATGAAGTGCCGAGTTCATCAAAAAGTTTCGAAACTTGTAGTTTTTGTACCAAGACACAATGCTTCACATTGTTTCACCAAAGCTGGAATTGAGAAACAGCGCAATATTGTTCTCTGTACAGCTGTTCAACGGTTCAACGAAAGTTAAACCATTGGAATTGCAAAGGCTGATTCTCAAAAACTTGGAACACTGTTCCGAACCAGCAAACTGTACACATCTCAGCAACTTTTGATGCTTCACAAAGCTCAGATCAGACCTCCTTTGGAGTATTGTTCTCATGTATGGATCTCCGCCCCCATACATACCCTGAAGCTGCTGGATTCCATCCAGAAAAGAGCTATCCGCCTGATTAGAGACGCGAATATCACTTGTAACCTTGATGGTCTGAAACATCGAAGAAAGGTTGAAGATTCATCTCTCTTCTATTGATATTCTCACGGGAAGTGTTCAAATGAGTTGGCACATTTGATTCCACCAAGAGCGGTGCATGACAGAAATACGCGACGGACTGTGGCTGCTCATCGTTATGAGGTACAACTCAGTACACCACAAACTTTACTGTTTGAGAACTCTTTCATTTTGAGAACGGCGTTTATGTGGAGTGAACTTCCTGAGAACGTTTCTCCGAATGAATTCAATTTTCAGCAATTCAAATTCCATGTGAATCACTACTCTCGCACAGTCACTGCTCTAAGAGCGCCTTAAGGATATTCCTGTAGTCTTGTGTTTTGTCCTTTAAAGAAAAGCTTTAGTAAATTCAAAATCTACTCTCTTGGTAGACTGAAATTCACACAGTTTTCATGGAAAATAATATTTTCACATGAATTATTGATTAATTTTAATTTCATGCTTGTGAAAAATGATACACTGAAACACTTGCTCAAAGACTAAATTTGATAGGTACTGGCAAAATTGTACACATTTAAATGGAAAGACGGTCCAAGGGGATGTCTTTTACAAATCTGAGGTTCAACCAAGTATCACAGTTGTGTTGTGGAAGAGATAAATTACAACCAATAAGATTCCGGCAGTAGTTCCAGGTGATGTTGCGAAACTAGTGAAACTGAGAGATTAACGAAACCATGAGAAAAAACGGTTTACAATTTTTGAAATGAGTTTAAAAAAATATATGCATTTTTTGGCTTTCTGCTTCTCCATCATTGAACAAAAATGTGAGAATCGGAAAAAATATTATTTACTTACTCTACATACCTTCGTAATGAGTATTTAGTACAGTTATTTTATTTTCCATATGGAAGTTTCCCATATTTTTCGTTGGGTGATGGAGAAGTAGAAAGCCAAAAACTATATGCTCAAAATACTTCCATCCACTAGCCGTTTCCATTCAAAAATGTGCTTTCACACACCTTTCTCTAACATCACTAGAAACCGTCCTTTTTCAGCGAAGTTCGTTCAGAAATTGATGAATTTTTACCAAAAAACCGTCGCATGAGCATCGCTCAGGAATTGTTGAAAGGGTCATGACTTTTGAACCAAAGTCCAATCGTCACAATGGAAGAGCCCAGGAGTTCCTGCCACATGGTTCTATGGTCAATAAGGAGTATTCTCTTGAAGTTATGCACCGCTTGCGAGACGCAATGCCAAGAAAACGTCCGGTGTTGTGGAGAACAATTCATAGCTTTAGCATCACGATAATGCTCTTGCTCACTCGTCATTGCTTTTTCATGATTATTTGGTCAAAAACAATATCGTAATCATGTCTTAACCACCGTATTGAGTAGATTCGGTCCCTTGCGATTTTTCCTGTTTCCAAGATTGAAGATACCCATGAAAGAACGGCGTTAGCGACGATTGAGAATACAAAAACAGAATAGCTGAGAGAGCTCAAGGACATACCAAAAATTGCATATCAGAACTGTTTCGAAGATTTGAAAAAACTTTGGCGCGAGTGAGAGGGACTTTTCATGGCATCGAACGTAAACATACGAATATTTTATTAACTTACGTATGAAATGTTACAACGAAAAAAGCTTTATTTTTGTTTGCACTATTATTTAAACACACTAAAACAGAACATTGAACCATTTTGATTTCGAAAACCAAACGTTGAATGCCTTTTCAAAACGGGTGAACTCGTATACTGAATCACGACTAATACGCTTCGATTTATCTTACCATAAGTTTACCACACTTCAGTTGTTACTTGGCGATTCAAATGCCTATTTCTTTGGTTTCTACTTCTCTAACATAAGCTAGTTTCAAAAATTGCATATAACAGTTACTTAAAAAACTGTCGAATTGTGAACAATAAGACATCCTTTAGACAACTATTTATTGCTTGTCGGGAGCCAATATTTACCGTCCACACATTCGGTACACCAACAATTACTTCTCTCTACTAAATCGTTTTGTCGTCCAACACCACGCAATTGCCAAACAACCCCTATTAACACCTAAGCAAGTGAAGACATAAACAAAAGAGATATCTTGGCTTTGTTACAGAGAAAGATCCTTATCCCGTAGATGCGCTGCCAACATGTAATCACGCCCTCTCGGTCTGCCAACAGGAACATAAATGTATCAAACTGTACGAGGATTTCAAAGCCAACTGCAAAGTGCGAGATAACAGATGTCGCATGGACGACAGGTGAGCCTAGACGTTAAGTAGCTTTTCTGTGTGTAGATAAAATTAGAAGATAGAGATACGCTGACTTGTCCGTTTTATTGTTTCGAAGAGCCTAGTTGGGTTGCATTTTCAACGCGTTGCTCGTTGAGTATTTGCGATAGTCAGAAGCGAAGTCATGTATAAACAGCATAAGAAAGATGACAGAGTGTTTCTTGAACGGTGATCCAAATAAACGTTTCTTCCATCGCAACCTCAGTTCGCTGCTGACCACGTTTTAATTCGCTTCGCTTTCAATTCGCTCCAATTTTCCTTTGTTCCTTGATCATAATGTGAACTGAGGAATTTATTTATTTATTCAATGGTCGTGGAAGATACAAACAGACATTAGGTTCACTAGAGTATCTACATCTACATATCTACATATCTTCTTAGTAGTAGGTATAAAACTCTAGAATAATACATGAGTATATAATACTTGATAAGTTGATTAGTTGTAAAACTCCTGACTTCAAAGTAACAATTTAACTTTGACTCAAACCTTAATAATATTCCCAAACCAATCAAGGTGACAAAAACAAATAACAGTTCATTAAAATCGTCAGAATTAACTGATTTAGGCAAAACTACTACATTTTGGAATCGAATATAATGCCTATGTCTCTAATCTTACTCCAGTTATTTGATCATTTTCGATCGTTCATTTTTGCTTTGGTGTGGGGGACACTTGAACTCATAACAAGAATTGAATAATGATGAACGTGCAGTAGGCAGAAAGCCAGACCTTGATAACGGCTGCGTCCAAAAGATCCGTCTTGAGTAATATATTATTAATCAACTGTATCATTAATGTTTATATTACTATGGATCTTACTATGAATCTTCATCGAGTAACGGCCGAATCAATCAGAAAAATAATGTTTGTATTCTATTCACTCATACCTAATGCGTCTTCTTCCAAATTTAACTTTCTATAATACAAGTCATAACGTTCATGAGTAACGAACCACTCTAAATTGAGCGCACGGATGACTTGTATCGAACATACATATAATCATCAAGACTCTTCTAGACCGTGCTTTCGGGCTCTGCAATACAAAGGAAGGTCTCGAAAAGGAACTAGGCATCATCAAAAATGACCTTCAACGGAATGGTTACTTCAAAGTGATGGTGGAACAGACTTTAGCTAGAAGACAGCAAGAGCTCCACAAGGAAGAGAAGCTGTTACAACCAGTACTTGTACTTCCTTGCAGCAGAGGATTGTCGGTAAGGATAAGAAGTATTGGGTCCAAGTATAACATTAGAACCTGCTCCAGATCTGGGAACACTATCCGTAGCAGTCTCACGAAAACCAGGCCCCCAAACGCGGACTGCGATTCCAAGAATTGCATTTACCGGATACCCTGCGAGTGCCGAGATTCATAAATCGGTGAAACTAAGAGGCCATTGAAAGATCACATTGCCGAGCACAAAAAAAAAAACACAAATCGAGCAGAAATCAGCAAATCCGGAATAGCAGAGCATATTGGGACTCATCATCATATCATTAAGTAGGCTCAAGCTGAAATCATCCACAAGGAGGAACACTGGTTCAGGGTAAAATCAAAGAAGCCTCATATATGTTATCCAACAACGTGTTTACCCAAGTTAGCATAGAGATACGTAACATATGGAAACCTCTAATCAAGCGGAACACGACCAACTCCCGCCAAACGGTCAGCTCCCGCTAAAAACCAATGAAGCGAAGAGAGAGAAGAGGAGATAGGTGAAAGCAGTCGAATGACCCCTATAAAATAAGTCCAGTTATCACCCGAAGATTGACGACGAAGATTGAAGACGATTGTGGATACCAACAATCGATACGTCGTGAAGTAACTTGGAATCTTTTAATTTTCATTTCTTGTTAATAATTTTTTAATTTTTCAGTTCGTGTTGATAGTTCAATTTTTGTTTTTCAGTTTCAGTTTTCAGGAGGAAATATTTCTATGTAAAAATCAATCCCACACCTCATAATATACCACATGTCGAAAATTTCAGATGAGAAAAATAATTAAGGGACACTTTTTCTGAAAATAATTTCAATTGTGGTTCCAACATTGTACTAATTTTGACATTACAATGATTCCGAATTAGAAAGTGAAACCGAAAATGATACTTAATCAAATTTCAATTGGGTACTATTAACTTGCATATAATGGTATGAACGAGCATCTGATTAATCCATTACATTCTGAAAACTATCAAGTATTAGTAGTTTGGTAATTTATTCCTGTACACTAATTGGCTCAGTTTCATAGACCTTTGATTTCAACCTTTCCTATGCAACCTCTTCTTCCAACCCAACGACTCGGAAGTTATTATCAAGGAATGGTCGTACTGGTAATACGGCATAAGGAAAAGCCTCATATTGTTGGAGAACTAACCCCATTCTGCCAAACAGAATATAACTGTGGAATTTTGAACCCCTGGCGTGAAATCTATTGAACACCTCTTCTTCACTTCTGCTCTCCTCACTTCTCGTGAGGTACATGTGTTTTCAATGAATAACTTGATTATTTGTCGAATTGAAATATCCATCAACATTTAAGTTTGCTTTCAAAAAGAATAATCCTATAATATAAATACCCAAAATTCCTGCCCAAACATTGAGTTTTTGGGTTTTTGGATGTACATCTGACGTGACATATTGGGATTCGAATCACAATACCAAAAAATTTTGACCACTTATTTGCTTTATTATATAATTGTCTCAGTTCAATTTATAAATCATTTTCATTTTGTGAATGGTAGAATTTCTATCGATGAAATATTCTGAAATCGTTTTTACGACCAACTTCCAATGCTTTGCAGGACCTAGTAAATAACTGTATTTTCCATCGAGACAACGTAAACTAGAACTGCAACGTTAATGCCTCCGTTATCTACTATTCCTGAACTGTCACGTTGTCTGCAATTACCGTTATCAGTTTTCATGAATCCATTCAACAATTTCGGTATATATTTAGATTCTTTATTTCTGTTTGGATGATTTTACATTAGTGTCCAAACCGTTTTTTTATAAAACAAACGATAACAATCGAAATGATATCTCGAGTTCAAACAGGGCAAAAATAGAGAACTCTAATGATAAAACTGTGTTATAAGTCACTATTTCGAAAGTTGCACATAAATATTAAACTTCAGCAGTAATTGGGTGATGAAATTCACGACTATTGTGTGCAGTTTGAAAATGAAGTTGAGTTTTCAGGTTGACCTACTTTGGAATTGTTTAAATTTAAAGGAGAATTTTATTTTTTCTGGCATAATGATAAGAGAGAAAAACGATGAGTAATGGCAAATGGCAGAAACAAAATTCAAAAACCTTCCAAATGAAGAGTTATTGTTGACGAGGGAAAGGGGTGGCTCTAAAGGTGTTGATTTTCACGTAAAAATGTGTCCTTCTGAAAACAATGTGTCTAGTTTCTACTGAAATACACTATATCTAGTTTGGAGGTTACAAATTGTTATGTTTGTCTTATTTTTCAAACTCAAACTATATTTTCTGTTGTTTATGTCATCAAGCAGATCACAATTTTGATGATTTGGGTTGACTATAACGTACCAAGTCATTCTAGGGAACATCATGACTAATCTCAAGCCAACTATTAGATAATCCAGAAGAATTATCTCATCTTCAAGGAAATACATTTTCGAGAGTAAAATATTTGATCGAAGAGTGATTAGAACTTTTGATCTGTAGTTCGTGAGTCAGAGACACTACTACTGCGCCAATTTACCACTTACATGTTATGGTATTTCCACTGTTTGGTTTGATTGTAGCAAATTATATTTATTAAAAACCTCATAAATATGGAAATATAATGGAAAAGTAGGCTTTGACTTCAGGAGGTGGTCAGATGCAGAGTCAACCTTCGACATCGATCGCTAAACAAGATTCGTTTTCTGTCTCTGCAGCATTCACTGCAAGACAAATAGTTGAAACCAGCCAAAAAAACAATGCAGTCTTGATGCAACCACAGACAGCCCAGTTTCGACCCGTCATATATCTCATCCATTTTACTAAGCTAAACCACGAATGCATTGCTAGACTCGACTGTCCTAGAAGTACAAGCCTGAATAAGTAATCGCGCTAACATATTCCTTCCCGGATTGAATTTTCTGTCGATCACACAAATAGCGTCTTTGACGGGGGAAATCATCAGCCTAGCATCACTGATGACACTCATAGTGGGTCGAAATCGCACTGTTTGGTGTTGATACATGAACGCGTTGTTTGCAGGCTCTGGTTTCATATGAAACAGCATCATCATAAAACCTCTTTTGGAGGTGTACTTCAAAGTTTTGGGTCAAAATTCTTGACTTCAGCACCTTTTTTGAATAGCTTCCAAAAACAATTCAATAAAAACTTGTGACTTCAAGTGTGGAACAGACTTTTCTACTTTTATCACGATGAGGGTTTCTTGAAACATATTCATTTAACTAACAGCAATAGAAAATTCGCTCAATTGAAGGGCGTGATATTTTGAAGAGAGTGATGTATCTCCTTTTTCATCATTATACAGTGCATTTTATTCAAAACGAGTCACCCTGAATGAATTTTGGTACAATGATTCGTAGGAAAAATAAAAAACACGTCAACCATAGTATACAGACGGATACATTTTGAACTATTCACCCCCCAGAGCGCGTCACAATTATTATATGAATTGAAAACCAGCCACCCTGAATAACTTCTGGAGGAAAGATGTTCAGTAAAAATAAAAAACACCTCAACAAGAGTATTCAGGGAGACACATTTTGACATATCCACATTTGATCTAACTTTCCCTATCGCACCCCCAGAGCATGTGAAACAAAATTCAAAAACCTTCCAAATGAAGAGTTATTGTTGACGTGGGAAAGGGGTGGCTCCAAGGTGTTGATTTTCACGTAAAAATGTGTCCTCCTGAGAAAAAGTAAGTTGACATAATTCAGTGTGGCTAGTTTTAACTGAAATACACTGTATTTGGTTTGGAGGTTACAAATTGTTATGTTTGTTATGTTTGTCTTGTTTTTCAAACTCGAACTGTATTTTTTGTTGTTTATGTCATCAAGCATATCAGAATTTTGATGATCTGGGTTGACTAAAACGTACCAAGCCATTCTAGGAAATATCATGACTAATTTCAAGCTCACTATCAGATAATTCAGAAAAATTATCTCATCTTCAAGGAAATACATTTTTGAGAGAAAATTATTTGATCGAAGAGTGATTAGAACTTTGCATCTGTAGATCGTATGAACGCGTTGTTTGCAGGCTCTGGTTTCATATGAAACAGCATCAACATAAATACCTCTTTTGGAGGTGTACTTCAAAGTTTTGGGTCAAAAAGCTTGACTTCAGCACCTTTTTTGAATAGCTTCCAAAAACAATTCAATAGAAACTTATGACTTCAAGTGTGGAACAGACTTTTCTACTCTTATCACGATGAGGGTTTCTTGAAACATATTCATTTAACTAACAGCAATAGAAAATTCGTTCAATTGAAGGGCGTGATATTTTGAAGAAAGTGATGTATCTCCTTTTTCATCATTATACAGTGTATTTTATTCAAAACGAGTCACCCTGAATGAATTTTGGTACAATGATTTGTAGGAAATATAAAAAACACGTAAACCATGGTATGGAGATGGATACATTTTGAAATATTCACCCCCAGAGCACGTCACAATTATTATATGAATTGAAAACCAGCCACCCTGAATAACTTTTGGAGGAAAGAAGTTCAGTAAAAATAAAAAACACCTCAACAAGAGTATTCAGGGAGACACATTTTGACATATCCACTTTTGATCTAACTTTCCCTATCGCACCCCCAGAGCATGTCTAATGGTGACATTGCTTCTCAAGAATTCACAAAAACAGAAAGACCAATTGTAACTTCACCTGGTAGGTAATCGTTATGGTAATATGAGACAAATACAAAATGAAGAAAATATCGGCGAATTAACACTTCAGGGTGGCTCGTTTTCAACTAAAATAATTTTTAGCTTCCAAACTAAGAGATTCAGACCATAATGTATTTTATTCTGTTGCAATCTGTTCATCATGGAGCATCTGATAATGCGAAACAATATAGGGTGATCCATTAAAAAAAATTGGTGACCTGATGGTGGTGCGATAGGGGAAGTAAAATGAAATGTGAATATGTCAAAATGTATCCCCCAGTATACTATAGTTAACGTGTTTTTTATTTTCTCTGAAAATCATTGAAGCAAAATTTATTCAGGTTGGCACGTTTTAAATGGAATTCACTGTATATGTTGATTGAATTAGAGGGGAAGAAGAATATTCTTCAGTGACTTGAGGTTGTGATATTCCATGTAATTCTCAATGAATTATCTACAGAATTTTTTTAAAGATGCAAATGAGAAGTCGAAATGTTTTCGACCGAAACTTCGAAGTTAAATATTTGACCAGTAAATGTTTCTCTTATGAGTGAAATTTTTTATCGATACTCTTTCATATTCAACGTTATGGAGCATTTCTGTAGAAATGACATCTGTTTCAACAGTACAAATGTTTGGAGGTTTTGAATCTGTTCTAAAATCTGTTTTTCCATTAATCAGCTGTCACCCCCGTACGAAAGACAAGTCTCAGAAGTTGAGAAACTTGTGCGAGCTAAGGACTAACGAGGTCTTACCTTTTGACGTGTGATTCCTAACGTGTGATTCCTAACACCTAACAGGTGAAAGAAAAAAAGTTATATACGTGTTATCAAATGTTTATATGTTTAGAAGTAGGACTTTTTCCTCCAGTTTGTATCTGACAGAAACTTCTGTGCTTGATCTACACATCTTAGGAAAAATTTTCAACTTGTTTGTTCGATTTTTCTTTTTTTTTTGTTAGTTTCCCACTTTTTTATAATCACGGAGTAGTGGAAAATCGAACGTTTTTTTTTCGAAAACTGATTTCTCCTGAGAAAAATTTCTCCCTTCACAACCATTTTGAAATATTTTCAATCAAATTAAGCTCATAGTACTAATTTTCACCATTCATTTCCAGGGATCTTTGTTACCAAGCGTGGACGAACCTCAGAAAATCCCCGATGTTCGGATGTATATGTCCGAATAATCAGATGAAAAAAAGATGTGACCGTATTTTCAGCATGGTGAACCACAATCCTTGCGTAGGTGAGTTCAAAATTCCATCGGCGCTCTCAACTGTAATCCTGCCATTTTCCCGAAAATCCATTGCCAGTCGATTTATGGCGCGAACATATAAAACCTAATAAAAACTTGAATTAATCCTCGATCGAACTTCATTGGCTGTTGTTACGCGATCAAAATAAAGTATTATTAAATCTTTTGTTCGTTTATACAACGTGATGATGCATGATAGGTCGAGATTCATTGGGTTTTTATTTCTTTCGATTACTGCATGAACGAGCAGGTTTATCGGGTTCATAAATTTGCGGCACTTCTTCACTGGGATATCTAACGAATGATTACTCTCTATTATTGAAGGGAAAATATCAGAGAAGAGCTCATTTTCTTTAATACTGATGGAAATGAGTAGATAAATAGGCGGAAATGTCATTTAATCTGTAAATAATATTAGCTATTACTCATGACGATATACGATATAGTAATAAACATTTGAATTTGATAACTATAATGATATTTCTAAAGTTCAGGTGGATTTTAATCGATTACGTGTGTACAAATTTCAATTTTCAAAAGATTCGAGACAAAATAAATTTGTTTTCAGACTACTCAAAAAATATATTTAGGGCATTGAACATATACAGAAGGGTCAAGGCTTTCGCGGCCAAGGTGTTAAGTGTCACTATTTTTTGGGTTTGAAGGCCGTCAATTTTTGGAATTTCTTTCTGACGTTTCGCTGGCGCGAGTGGCTAGCCTCTCCAGAGGTTTATACATCCTGGATTGATATCCAATGACTTCACAGATTCATGCATCCTGCGCCAGCGAAACGTCAGGAAGAAATTTGAAAAATTGATGGCCTTCACACCCGAAAAATACTGATACTGAATACAGGAGGTTTGATCAAAAGACTTTTGAGGGCTTTTGAATTTCTTTCATTAGTATAAAGTTGGTGTGTTTGAAAAACCACTCTTTAAAAGAACGTGACAATCAGTCACGAATGATTTTCTCATATATTTACTTTGTGCAGATTTTACAATGATAGCACAATGATTTTTTCAATTCAACGAATCCAATTATCATCTCTATAACATAGTAACATCGGATCTGAAGCTTTTCAGTTCTCAATTCTTGATTCTGTCAACAAACTTAGGAGTCTAGGTAGTGCAGCTAGGAAGTGACTCATCGCCTCCTCAAGAGAAGCAAAATAGAAATCTAAATCTGGGGAGAAAACAAACTTCCTTTGAGCAAATCAGCAAACGCTTATGTTCAAATGATGATTCATTCAAACTAGAGACAAAAAAGGCCTGCATGACTCAATCTTATATATCGTCAGGTATAACTAACTCACTCCAATGTCAACTAATCAACTGAAATCTCTTCATTATGCCATTAGAGGATTTTTCAAGAGATCGTCCACAGGTATGATTCCAAAGCTGTCATGGTCTGTCAACCATGGAATGGGTTATACATGAAGAAATCAAATTTCTTCACGTATAACCATCATCAGCAGATGCATGCTTTGTTCCTGCTTCGACGCAGACCATATCAGATATTTAGCGTTCGGCAGAGTCCTACTATTTCTAACTGATCTGAAAATCACTTCCAGGAAAAAACCATATGCACTGCATGATAAGTCATCATTAGTACGAAGAAGAAAATATTAAACAAAACTGTTTATGAATTGATTGAAAAATAAGTTGAATGAAATCAAAAGAATGAATCTCATATCATTTGCATTGACCACATCACAAAAATTATTTGATAGGCATATTGGGGACATATAATAGCAATTGCAATATGACAAGATTGCACAAGATTGCATATATGTCGAAGGAAAAGGAAGAATTGGTATACAAAACCATTATAGGAGAAACGACAATAAAACCGTTAGCAAGGGTATGTCTATCCTCAGATCTTCCTTACCTGGTGAAGACGTTATACATTTTTAACACTCTAATGGAAACGGCATACTGGGCATGCAGTCGTCCCAGTTCAATAAAAATATAATGATGTAGTAAATATATAACAAAATCCATCAAGAAGAAATAACTCAGCATAAGCTCATCCAAAATCAGTCTGGTTCACATGTAAGTTTTTTTTGCTTATTTTTGTGAAATTTTACAGACTGGTCCAAAAATTACGACCAAGGTGTCATTGGATTCATATTTATACCTAGAAAGTTTAAGGAAAGGTCAGAAAAGGCGCTGAAAGATATTTTATAATTTTCGATTGTTAATAAAAAAGTAGAAAATAACAATTTCTTTATTTTGGCAACGGTAATCTTTTATTAATAATTTTTTAGCCTATTAAGAATAACTTCACCAAATAATTTTTGTTTTCATCTTCAAAAGTAATGTATTTCCAGGTTCATGTGAAGTAGTTGCTTCGAAATAGGTTTTTCTTTGAATTACATACTTAGTTACTTTTCCCACGTTTTTTTTTGTAGGGACATGGGAAAGAAGATAGCCAAAAAGCATTTTTTCTAAATGAATCAACATACAACGTTGAATTTGTTAATTATCAAGCTTGTTTAACTTTTACTTCATCTCTAATCTGTAGAATTTTTTCTTCGGTTTCTCTGTATACTTCCAGGAAGAACATTTTATAGAGAGTCTATAGTCACTGCTAGTATACATAAATAAATCCATCATTGAATGTTGATTACGATGCGAACAAAATGAAACCCAAAAATACAAAATTTTTATCTAATCTTTATATTCGTGTCATAGATAATATACATTTATCAAAAATGACCGGTTTCAATTTGTTGTTCAGATCTAGTGAGTTTTTGATGCTTTGTTCACCATTATGATACCATGTTTGACCAGTAGTTTTCTTCCACTAGATTACTGAAATATCCAATGTTGTTGTTATCTCAGTTCCAGTTGTGAAAATATAGTTATCTTTTAAATACAGAAAGTTTTTTGAGACCCGTACTTCTAGTACCCTTTGATAATTGTCGGTTCGAGTCAATGAATATAGGTATTCGCCAAATTTTTTAACCACCAGATTTTTTTTGACCCGCGTTCTCCAGTATATTCAAAATGAAGTTATGTAGTTTTTTCTCAAACTTAATTGAGTTGAAATACTGATGATTACTTCAACGCTAATCCTGAAAACGTAGATATACTATTGAAGCATCTTATCGATTGCAAAATATACTATTTCATATAATAGTAAATCTCTTAGTGAAAAAATATTTCCCACTCACTCATTTGTGGCAATTCATATCCTCTTCTGTTTATAAAAATAATCCTCCAATCATGCTTCTGTTCGCATTAGTAAATTCTGATAACAATAGAAACATTGTTGCCATTGTAGCATGGGTGAGTTTCAATAAACACTTCTTATGATACAATATATTTTTTGGGAAAAAAGCTCTTGGCTTTCTACTCCTCCATCTTCATACAAAAAATGTAAGAATCTATCGAAGAAAGCAATCAATTGAATAAAATTAACTTTTCAAAAAGATGTGTAGATCATTCAAAGAAGTAATTTTCAGGCACAAACTAGAAGACGACCCTACTCGAAACACCTACTTTCATATGAACATTGAATTGCACGAAAAAAAAATACTTTCAAACCGAATGCTTTTTCATGAACACTGAATTGAACGAAAAACACTTTTCTCTATTCCGTTTGTATTTCAATAATTCGCATAGGAATCGAATCATATATCATTCACAGGATTGCTACACAGTTTAGTAAATGAAAGGGGTAAAATTTCACGTACATGGAACACTAATGGACATCCGATGTTTCGGCATGAGACACTTGCCTTATCGTCTCTTCAGCACCGAATCTGAATAACAATAATAACATTATACTCAAGGTACTTAATTCATTCATAAAATCGCGACTTTATGTCAGGAATGAAATCAATCTACTCATGTTATAGATGATAGTACGTAGACATTCATTCACTCATTTGATTAAGTCCCAGCCATAGGTATCTTGTTTAAATATTTATTTATTAAAATCACAGTATACAAAACAAAAGTTTTTCTAATTTGAGTAGAATTCTAATTCAAAATTTTCATCCTAAATCTTTATTGAATACACTAATTTTTTGTGAAAGAACAGTTTCTCCAACCTCCCAAAATGGGCTTGATAATCTAGTACAGCCCTTTATCAATAAATCATCAGCTTATTCTCAAGAACTAACACCAAAATTAATTGACGGGAAGTCTCTTCAGTTTTGCGGATGATACGGTCATTATGTACCAGGGAGAATCCTGGTCTGACCTGACCTATATATAAACTTTATA